CACTATTTGAATTCAGTTATTTCATACATAATGTTACCACAAAATGTGACCCAGCTGGTAGTCATAGCCTACACCTGTCCACCGATGTAGTTTTATAATTATCCACCGTCCAACATCTTATGTAAGTTGGGAAAACACAAAGCTTTTATTCCACACATGTCACAAGCTTGTAAATCCCCTGTTCTTTGCTGGATAATATAAGTTACAACTAACATTGTTGTAATGGTATGAAAACTGTATCAATTTTAAACTCCACAGCAGTCTCTTCCTCTATAGCCAATTCAACAGCTAATAATTTAAAAGCGTGAAAGAGCCTCTCTAATGGTAAGCTTACACAATTACCAATATGAACTTGAATCTAATAGCCTGTTCTACACCTGTAACATCAGCTGTGTGTATACTCTGATCAGCTATCTGTGACCACACTTTGCAGTCAAAGGGCATCTGTCTCCCTCTAGAGTCAAACCTGGGATTGACAATGTTGAATAGGCTGTAATGCTGCATTATGTGTTTGAAGATTTCAGTAGACCTATGACCTTTGTGGTTACAAGATTCACCATGGCATGACTCGGGACAAATACAGAAAATCTATGATGCGATTCGCATCACAGACATGAGTGAAGTCACACCATGACTTTAGCTTCACAGGGCACCCCCAATGTTTGTTCACTTTAGAAGTGACATCAGGACAGCTTAAATTAGATGGCTGTGTCACAATGGCTATTAAGTTCTTGTTTTAATTTATCTTGATTTGTGACTGGCTGCATGAAGCCTCATGGAGACAGAAAATGAGAGGAGCCTGTTTCCGTCTTCCTGTTACCTCCATAAATGCACCTAGATGGAGAAAAAGAGTTCTAATTTGGGATTGGTACCTCTAGGGGCTGCTAGCTGAGCTTTTAAGTCCTGGAGTTGTGTTAATTTTAATATTTGTTATTACTGAGAGTAGACTATAATATGTAATTTACTTAAACTTAAACAACTTTGAAATGTTGTTGTACCATTGTTTTACAGCATGTTGGGCTATCTTTAATTTATTATTATTATTATTAATTCAGAATATCATAAGAAGAACACAAAAAAGGTGAATGGATAGTGTAAGAAAAGTAAATAATTTCAAGTTTGGAAACAATGTAGTCAGTGTAAATTTACATTTAAGTTTGTTGTAGTTTATTTTTAATGTTCTGATTTATCTATGCCAAAGAGTACGAGTTTTTATTGAGTGGACAAAATGTCAAATAAATGTCTTATTTCCTTTGTCTGCAATAATTGATTTTACAGTCTCACTGAATTTACCTGGTGAACGAACATGATTTTGATGTGGACTGAGACAACTGATTTTTTCATTGTGTGGATTACATAGTGGCAGCATATGGCAAGGCGGGGCAATCCCTGGTAGCCATAGTGCTGACACCTCAATCCTTCTACTTCATCTGACTTGGGGGGGACCAGAGGAAACGCTGAACTGAACCTAACAAAGCTTAACGATGCAAGCTTGATTAATCATTCTCTGCAGCTACTTGGAATCAGGCAGACATGCTGAGTGCAGTGTAACAGAAGCTTATGCTGTTAGAACAATGCAGGTATAAGATTATCCTGCCGGGACATTTTACTGCCTTTATTCATTTGAAATTGTTAATTTTACATTTTAGGGTTGTACTAAAGTAGATTTATCAACATTTATTTCAATGAGATTTGTCCAGCTTTGTCTGTTTTTCATGCCAAAAGTTGTCTAATTATATACATTGTTTTATCATAGTTATAAAAGTAAATAACATTAGGGTTAGGAATTTTAAAGCTCATAATTAAATTAAAGAAACAACTTTAAAAGTTAATCTCACTTTTTGACAATAGCTGACATTCAAGGAGATTATATCAAAAAGCTTCTGATACAAAGATTTGTGAACTAGCATTTAAGGGCATCCTCTGAAGGACACTAAAAGTATGTCTTGCACGTGTGCCTGCTGCATTGCATGTGCCTTCAATGTTTGATGCACTGCAGGTATTTGAAAATATGAAAGGTAACTACACGTTTAAACTTATGAACAGCTGATCTGTCTGATCTGACAAGAAACTGAGCTAGGGTTTTACTAGTGACGTATGTTCTGTCACCTGCAGGGCTTTGTCATCATAAATGTGTTCACTTAATACATAATAATCCAGTTGGCTCATGGCAGCTGGCTGCTAAAGATTGGCTGTATCTGCACGACAATCACAGGGCTGAGGAGTGAAGAAACATGACAGTTATCCCTGCCAGACTAAACCTCAAGCGCCACTTTGCTGATGGCAGCAGCATCTTACCCGTGCCGGCAACTGGAGAGTAAGGCATCTAGTAAAGACAGAAAGAAGTTACATTTTTCACTATGATTAAACTTGTGATTTAATTATCTGTAACTCATTTAGATGCCATGGTATAGATAATATCAATGTATTATAATAAATGTATTATCAATGATCACAAACCAACTTCACAAACTTTCGAATTTGAAATGGCCTAAAGAAACCTCTAACCAATCCTGTCCTGTCTATTATTGTGAGGAACAAGATTATCATTTAACCCCTGACATGTGAGTAACACCTGCGTTATGTAATCTGATATGGGACTCCAGATTACCACAGTCAGTACTGCTTCGGTCAGTATATATATGTATTTTAGGCTTATCCGCTAAGTGTGTTCTGAATGTAAATTTATACTGCAACCAAACATGTAGTGTAGTGTGAATGCAAATGTGCCAGACTAGACTGTCTACTTTAGACAATGTAAAAATCCTGGTTGGTCTAGATGGTCTAGTCTAGTCTGCCTTGTGTGCATACACTTGACCATCTTTGTTGATTATTTGAAATGTCACAATTTCCCCATAAACAAAATTGGTTGGAGTAGTTATTAAAGGTGCATTAGAGACATTATGATCCCAGATTGTATTAACTGGTTTTACGAGCCAAGTGGCATGTATATTTGTATTAATGGCAGGTTAATTTAATCATTCATAAAATAAAGTGTGCTCTGATTTGAGCTTGTACTAAGTTGAAGCAGCTAGCAGCAGCTCTTTGATTATAAGCCACAATAAAGATTTAAGATGTATTGTTGCACATGCAGTTTTTTCTGAGTTGAATACAAAAAAATCACTGCATACTATTATTACATGCACATACACCATTGCAATACTGCAATTTATGGAGTTTTTGAGACCCAAAATCTACACTATTTTGTCCCCATTTCGGGATTATAAAACTGATTGAGACAACAGGTTCTGAGTTTAAATGGCTAAGCCAACTGAAAGAGCTCTGTTTGAATACTGTATTGTTTTCTTAAAATCAAGAGTGACTTAATTAGGATTACAGACATGATAGAAATCAATCTGTGGACTTGGCAGATAGTCACATCAGTAAGTGTCTTTGCTATTTTTGATCTGATTAAAGAGCAAATCCATAATTCCAGCTTTATAGACCTGTACAGAGAATTGCAAGCACAGGTGTTAATATTTCTGACATTTCTCTTTGGCCATCCTCTGTGCAACACCTTAAGGTGACAGAGAAGTGAGAAAATGAGTGATTCCCGGAACTTTATGTTTGCAGTAACAGTAAATTGCACTTGGCTTACTAATTAGGCAGTAGGAGGCTCCAGAGAGCTGTCACCATATGGCAGAAGAACCGAATTAAGGGTCAACTTGTTGCTGCTCTTTGAATCTGTGCACTAATTGTTTTTCTTCTCATCACCCCCTTTCGTGATCCCCCTCCAAGGAGGAGACCACATTTCATGGAAGGTTAAGCTACTTTGCTGATTTGGGGTGGCTGCATTCTCCTGAGACCCTTAGTGTCATTGACGACATGGCCAATATGAAACAGAAGGAACGTCTTAACTATGGTATAAGACTACTCTGTTAACCCCACTACCCTGTTAACAGGGTACTAGGAGTGGGACAAATAATCCACATTGCAATTTATTTGAGTCTCTTGAAAAGTCAGTGCTGTGGGCAGTAGTTGACTACTCATGGATGATTTTACAATGGGCTAGATAACATGTGAAGCATCTTTGTACACACCTGTACACATATGTTTCTTTTGCTTTCCTGGTATTATAAATTCCCCTGCGATCCTGTACACAGGATAAGCGGTTGACGATGGATGGATGGATGGATGGTATTATTATTATTAAATATATATTTTACACACCTAAAGAGAGACGCGGTGTTATTTAACAGTACTGCATGCCATAAGTAGTTGTGCTTACATTAAAAGAAATGCTATGGCTCCCTAACTACGGTAGTCAATAACTATAAAAAAGTAGTTGTAGACAACTGAAGTAACATTACTTCTTCTTCTCATGTATATAATAATAATATAATACTAATAAAACTATATTTTGCATTAATGTTACAGATTCCACAATATGTAATTATTGTGTATCTACTCTGGCATTAGATTGCAGTTTGGATGGGACATCTATAAATTATTGCATTTTGCAGAAGAACTAAAACAGATTGTGTAGAGCAATATAACAAATCAAAATTATACAAAATATCTTACAGCAACAATGAAATGAGGAACTGGCCCCTTGACTGGCATGAGTGAGGCCTCTCTCCATTAAATACATGGAAGTAAGAATTAATTAGCTGACATGGGAAAAGCATGATAAGTAAAGACTGAAAAGGGAATAATTTAAGATAATTTAGAGACAGTGGTGACCTTTACCATGCAGCGGCCACCAAGTGTGTTAAGTTGATTTGATAGCAGTGTGGGTAAGAAGTAAAATATTTTTATTTTCATTTTTCAGTATTTACCTTTGTTTAATACAATTTTGTCTGTAAGTGGTGTGACTGATTGATTTACCCTTATAGGCAGTAAAGATTAAGAGGATGACAAATCAGCATTTGCTTACACAGCGCCTGTTGCTAATCTCCTTGTCTTCCTCCAGAAAGCCCCCAGACGACTCAGACTCATGCACTCATTCTGGCAGGCAGAGGGAAAGAAAGAAGAAGGCAAGTAGTAACTCTATTGACCCATTACATAAAGAAAGGACAACAGCACTGGATCAATATTATGGAGCATTGCTGGAGAAACTCTCTGATGATCTCTGAAGAAATTATGCTTTAACTGTAAGCTTTACTGGACAAATTCTACATCTTTTGTGTTTTGGGGACATTGCCATGCATCAACAATTCAAATGAAAAAAATGTTTTGATCGAGCCAGGCCACTACACAAAAAACACTTTGTACAGAAGAGGAATATACTTCTGGGAGTAATCTTACATTTGTCTAAAAACAATTTATTCAAAGAAGTTCAGAATACATCTCAAAATGGAGGACCATGTGACCAAAATGTTTTCTTCTGACTTTACAGATGGAACTGAAGCAGGTGAGCCATTAATTGTTGTAGTATACAGCTGCTTTCAAATGTCAGAATAATGATGTGCATACATTTGTATTGTGTATACAATACAAATAAATCTGTACAATTAACAATGATATTGTTGGTATTTATTTTTGCTATCTGTTCTCTACAGAAAAAAGTTCAGTCCCAGGTAAAGCACTTGGCCATGGCCTGCTTTGTAAGGTGTGCTCTGATTCAAGCAGTGGTAAACACTATGGGATTTATGCCTGCAACGGCTGCAGTGGCTTCTTCAAGCGCAGTGTGAGACGCAGACTCATTTACAGGTGAGCAAAATGGTATCTTATCTATAGCAGTCAGAAATACCATGTATATAATGTAGAGAAACAACTAGTGTAACATGTCTTTGTGTTTTAACATAATACTTACCGTAATATAGAAAATTGTTTTGTTTTTTGTCAATATAACACAGATGTCAGGCTGGAACTGGCAGGTGCCCTGTTGACAAGGCTCATCGGAACCAGTGCCAAGCTTGTCGACTAAAGAAGTGTCTCCAAGCTGGCATGAATAAAGATGGTGAGAAAACTCTGAATAAGTTAACTGTGTAGAGTATATTATCTGTGCATACATCATTTCTGTCAAAGCACAACTTATCGAAAGCCTTGACTTAATATATTATTTACTTTTCCTTTTGGAAGCTGTGCAGAATGAGCGACAGCCTCGAAGCACAGCGCACGTCAGTCTAGACTCTATATGTGTGGACACTAAAAAGGAGCACCTAGCCACCACACGGGAGCTCACCTCCTCTGCCACCTACTCATCAGTCATCTGTAGACCTCTGGTCTCTTCCTCTGTCACCACCTCTGCCACCATACAGCCCTGCAACCACCCCAACAACAGCCACCGCTTTATGGTCAGCCTACTCACTGCAGAGACCTGTGCAAAACTGGAGCCTGAGGACGGTAAGATCACATAAGTTAAATTAAGGTGGACAGTACATTCTTGGATGGGATAAAATTGGTTTTGAAAATACATTTAATATACTCCCTGACAAGTGGGGATTGCCTTTTAGGATGATACAATAAGCCATTTTGACAAGCCAATGACATTTTGATAGGTCTTATCTGAACTGTAATGATGCATGTAATCTTAACAATATTATACTTCCAGTGGCCTAAACATTTGTGTGACCCTTTTTTTCTAATGTACAGTGGAGGAGAATATTGATGTGACAACCAATGATTCAGAGAGAGATCGGACTCCCTCTGATAGTCGTATGTGCCCATACACATCCAGCTGTTCAGAGAGTATCTACGAAACATCGGCACGACTCCTCTTCATGTCCGTCAAGTGGGCAAAAAATTTGCCTGTTTTTGCTCACTTGCCATTTCGAGACCAGGTGAGACTGACTGACATATTTCCTAAATGGATTTACGTACATACATAAATCATGTGCAAGACTGATAACATGTATTTCTGTGACATCCTCAGGTGATTCTCCTTGAAGAAGCTTGGAGTGAGATGTTCCTCTTGTGTGCCATCCAGTGGTCCCTCCCCATGGACAGCTGTCCTCTTCTTTCTCTGCCAGATCTTTCTCCCACACAGCAGGCCAATATCAACCTGCCCACAGCTGACCTGCGCATCCTGGAAGACGTCTTTAATCGCTTTAAAGCCCTGGCTGTTGACCCTACTGAGTTTGCCTGCATGAAAGCCATTGTACTGTTCAAGCCAGGTAAGAAGTTATTCTTTCAGCAATATGTATTTGTTACTGAATGGACACTGAAAGTAATGTCTGCTGTTTGACCCACAGAGACACGCAGCCTCAAAGACCCAGAGCAGGTGGAGAATCTGCAGGACCAGTCACAGGTGTTGCTAAGTCAGCACATCCATTCGGTATACCCCAGTCAAAGTGCCAGGTAAGCCTGCTGTAACTCTTTCTCTAGAAAGACTACAAAGATCTTCAAACATAAGCTGGAGTAATTTGAATCAGTCACAAAAGCGTGAAAACAAATATAACGTGTGTTCCCCTTTCTTCTTGTCCATCAAGGTTTGGGAGACTTTTACTTCTACTGCCATCTCTCCACTTTGTGAGCTCTGAGAAAATAGAACAGCTGTTCTTTCACAGGACCATTGGCAGCACACCCATGGAGAAGCTGCTGTGTGACATGTTCAAAAACTAAACAAGCATCGAAGTAAGGACACTTGCTAGGACAACACAATAAACCAGCCCCCAAGCAACATTTCTGCTTGTATATTTCACGTATTCTGGTTATGACTACTTTCAAATTCAACAAAATGGCCCCTCTCCACTGAAGCCATTTTGACATGCCACTGTAAATAATAAAATCCTACTGTGCAAGCTGACTCACTGTCACGCTGACATACTGGGACACATACAGTAAATAGAACAAAGCTATTATTAAGGCTATTAAGAACACCCTTGCTTTTCATCAGCGTTTATGGCATTCTTATTAAATAAGCATACAGTAATTTAGTGATTATTGCACAATTTTATTCGTAAATGTTTGTTTTTTTATAAACATACTGAATTATTTTGTGTTGGTCTTAGTTGCAATTATTATAAAGATTTTTTTTTTTGAATAAAATTATTTGTCTTAAATAAATATGGAAATTTTGTATTTGTCATATTTTACAAATGTGTTCATCTGTGGCCAGTTTTTCTCCATTCTTTTTCTACTTTTACAGAAACAGAAGAGAACACATAACACAAGACATATTACAAAGAGATGCTACAAAGAACTTCCACTATACAGAATATCTCTGGTTATTTTACTAATATTATTTAGACCCTAACCAATACATAATAGTGGCTGCTATTACACAATGTGCCAAAATATTTGACAAGCACATAACAAACATTTTTGTGGTTATTAAAAAACATTGTGACCAAAATATGTCTAGCATGAAACAGTTCAAACATTCCTGCACTGCAATTTCTTTGCACATATTGCTGACATACACACCGTCACCAATATCTGTAATAAGCTAAGCTTATATAATGGATATATATGTCCAATATATGACAAGAAATTGCAGTGCAGAAATGACAAAGATATTTTTGAGGTCATTTTTATTTGGGTCACAGCACATGCAGGTATCCTGGGAAACGAGAGAGCAGATACATTGGCAAAAGAAGAAAAAAAGGGAATTGTTGAACAATAAATGATCAAAATCAGAGGGGAAAGGCATAGTGTGGAGAAATGTAAATCAATTGGGATTTACATTTGGGATAACCAATAAAATGGAGACATTTAAACTCAATCCAAAACAGAGTAACGTTAGATTTTGAGAGGTAGGGATTTAAAAAGAGAGCAAGTTATAACCCTAACCTTAATCTTTATATCATGCAGGAAATTTACACATGAAAGACAATAAAAATATGACACACTTAAGGAAAATATTTTTAAGCACCGCTGAAAAGACGGCCATTACTGAAGGAGAATGAAACCTGAAGGTGGCAGTAATGCACCGTGGATGCAAACTGCCGCGAAACCTCAAAGCAGAAGAAGAAGCACACGCCTCGTCAATAAACACCGCGAAGAAGAGTTCGATCAAAACACGGAAGTACTTAATGCTAGCTAGAAAGCTAACAATACAAGTCATTTGGCGTAATCACCTGAAGCGTCCTGCATTTTAGTAACCATAACTACTTTGTTTACTTTAACCAGACTGTTTTGGTTGACAACTGCAGCAGGGACTGATAAGTAATATGAAGTCCGTTTAAATAGCAGTTATTTTACCTAACAATGTTTAGCAAGTCGTATCAGCTGCTCCCTCAGAGGGACTCCACCAGTCCGAGGACTCCTGGCTTGTTTGTGGACACTGATGGCTTCACACAGCGCGGCTATCACAAAGGACTTTCATTTGACAACATGCCCAATGTTTCTAAAAACGACTTCACTGGTAAGTAGCTAACATTAACTTACGTGACACAGTGGACTTAAGTCAAACAATTCAGCCTCAAATGATTTAATAAAATAAGAGTTTTCCCAGTGTGTGGTTTATCATTTATTATCAACACTAGATGTTGTCAGTGGCAGTGTCTTACTGCCTAGTCCATCACGTTTTTTTGTTTAAAATACGCAAAACATATAAGAAAATATGTCCAACATATGTCAGAAAACACGCTACATTCCATTGCACTTGATTGAAGTTGGATGACTTGCATGAGACACATTAAAACAAAACAGCATGATCAGAATTGCAAAGGATGAGATCTCCTGAAATCTGATCCCTAGGATGAGTTGTGCTCCAACATCACTGGATCCTACACTTCCCAAAATGCAATTTAATTGCATGTTTCGTGAGACCCTTCCTGCTTCATAAGACCACTTCTTTCAAACCTCACACCACCAGTTTGTAAACCAGGCGCTATACAATTTTGTTATCTTCAAATCTTTATCAGACTTTAGAAAGCTTCCATTAAAGTAACTGATTTTACAGGCAAAGTAGTTCTCCCCTTGACTGGTTTACTGAAAACACCCTTGGAAAGCTGAGTCTCTTTTTTTTGTTTATTTGTTTGTTTTCCTTAAGATACCTCCCAAGGATGGGTGTCCTGGATTTGCAACCTGATTGTCATCTTCCTCGTCTACATCTGCACCTGTATAACATTTCCTATAACAGGATGGTTTGTACTGAAGGTAAGCTGAAATTATCTCTCATCAATTACTCCCACAGCATGTCCACTCCCTTGTTGGGAATTAGAACAACCAACTGTAACTCATTTTGTCCTTAGACAGTGCCTAACTACCAGAGGATAGTAGTGTTTCGACTGGGTCGAGTCTGTCCTCCGAAGGGCCCTGGTATTGTCCTTGTGCTGCCCCTCATTGACCAGTGGCAGAGAGTGGACCTGCGAACACGTGCTTTTAACATCCCTCCTTGCCAGGTAAACCTCTAGACACTCTTTATCATTAGTTAGCGATGGGATGGACAACTTCTTCAAGTATCCTGAAACACTGAAAAATGCAGAGAACACCTCTAGTCAGGAGTAGTTGCCCTCAAATTCTCCTACTAGTTCTTTACTGAACAAACTTTTACTGAAAAGACTAACTTTGTAAGATACTTGTTTTGGTTTAACTCAGACTGCTGAAGCTTCATATTAGTGTCCTAATGACATTTGAATATATTACTGTACGGAAGGAAGACCCTGGAGTTTGTCCCCCTTTGCCTCCATTGAAAGCACATTAGGAAGGGATCTTTTAATTGCCACTATGAACAGGAGGAATGATTACAGAAAGCAAAATCTGCTCCAGTTTTTAAATTGTCATCTGACTTTTGTTTTAAAACAGACTTGTGAAGCTTTTGCTGCGTTTCGACCAAAGGAACTATACCCCGGAACTAGGAACCTTTGGAGGCACTCACTGCGTTTCCACCAAAGGGACCAGGGTCTAAATTCAATTCTAGGGTATTTATTTTACCCCCCAAAATGTCCCCACTTGGGTTTAGTACTTTCCAAAAGTACTGGTACTTTGGGGGGCTTCTACGACCTCTCTTGTCCACCGTTGTTTGCAAACTAATAAATCGCAATCAACAGTAGCACACAAGTCAAGAACTTTATCCAGTTTGTTATTAAATTTCTAACAAACTTTATCGTGTGTCTATCCATTATACTCCCACACCAAAAAAAGCTGTTTTTAATGGTCAAGCAAGCCTATAGTTTTTTCGTTACATTCCAGTCAAACAGACTCATTTATAAATTTTACTCCTGGATAGTGGATACTAAATAATTTTAGAGCATAGTGCATCGCTTTGTACGGCCAATAGGCCTACAGCCTACGACAGCTGTTTAATTTGCCTAATCTTCGCAGGTCTTTAGACCATGGTGGAAACGCACAACAGTTTGCTGAAGGAACCTTTTAGTTCCTTGAAAAGAGATCCGGGTACTTTTGGTCGAAACTTTTCTCATGTTCAGGAACTTCCATAAAGTTAAGTTCCTGAACATGAGACGGCTTTACTGAAGAATGGTTAACATGCGAGAGACAGCGCTGTGGCAGATCTAGGCACCCGGTGGCAAATATCTTTGGCAAATATTAAGATATTTTCACCATTTTTATGTCATTTTTAAAAAGTAGCCTTCACATTTTTTAAATATATTTTTTAAAGAATAATGACACGGATGATTTATTTTTCATTATAATAATTGATACATATTATAACTCATTGTTACACTGAGTGCCACTAGCTGCCACTGGGAGGATCTCTTTGCTGCTGTAAGATACTTAGACTTTTGCAAGATTAAAATATCCCCTCTCTTTGGACCAGAGACTCTCTTGCATATGAGCTTTTGTGATATTCACCTTTTACTTACATGAACAAGTATTAAGAAGGTTACTCAACATCCTTTGCAGATGTTTCCTGGTGTGGTATGTTAATGATATGCCAGACACAGCGAGAGGGTGTCAATTAGCGAGCTGCACACAGAACAGTGGCAGTGTAACTCATTCATGCAGTAGGGCAAGTGAGTTGTAGGCACTTTTGCATTCAAACAATAGGACAGACAGTTTACAATAATTACGACAGTGATGAAAACACTATGGGTTGGGGAAGTCGACCCAGACAGTCCTTAAGTATTGATGGTTACAGAATTGTTTCTGTATGCCCTTTTATCACTCAGACCACAATAAAGCAAATTGTAATGTTTTGAATACAGTATTTGATCCTTACAGTACAACACATGAGCTAAGCAGTCGTAGTTGCTCATCAACCAAGTTTAAACAGTGTGTCAGTTAATTGTGTATGATTTGCTTTGTCCTGCAGGTGGCACTCTTGGTGTACTGGTCAGTGTGAAACTGGACAAAGTAAATTGATACAGGGAGAACTATGAATAGTGTTTGACAGTAGGGTTGAACCTGTTGCTGCCTGGAGTATATCTGAAAACATTTTAATGCCAACAAAAATTCATTGTGTGCTGAATGTTTTTTTTTTTTTAGTCTTGTGTCATCCCTTTCATATTAACTTTGCTTAGCCTTTTAGTCTTTGCCCCCATAAACTTAATAATTAAAGGAACTGTCCCAATTCTTCAAGCTTAAGCATTTATCACAGTTATGATTTTGTTTTTTAAACTCCTCTTGAGGAAACTAATCACAGCTCTATCACTGAAATGCTTCACTGCATTTCAATAAAGACAAGGTACCAGGACTCTTCTTCTGAGCAATCATTATTTGCCAACTGTATATTCACAGTGAATATTGCTAAGTTAATGCCAGCTTTAAGAATGAAAAGGAAATGTCACTGAGTTGTGACAAATATTAAATGACCTGTGTTAGACCCAGCACTTTAAAATATTAAATGTAATTCTGCTACTGTAGGTGCATACTCGGGATGGCGCAGTGCTGTCAGTGGGAGCAGACATCCAGTTCAGGATCTGGAACCCTGTCATGTCAGTAGTATCCGTCCAGGACCTGAACGCCTCAACGAGGATGACTGCACAGAATGCTTTGACCCACAGCCTGGACAAGAAGACTGTTAGGGAGATCCAAACTGAGAGAGTTAAACTGGGAGAATATCTTGGGGTGAGACCACACTCAAGCTACGGTCTCTGCTGGCTTTTCAGTGTATCTTGTCAAACTTACACCCGTTCTCGCTCTGTACAGATGGACATAAATGAGTTGACTCAACACTGGGGGCTGGAGGTGGACAGGGTAGAGCTTACCCTCGGCTCTCTACTAAAAGCACCAGATGAAGGCACCTCTGGACCCCTCATCATGCCTACCGCTGTGCCTGGACTGGAAGGTCTCACTGGCCCCATTCAGCAGTTGGCCATGCACTTTCTGGCCCACAGTGGCAGTTCACAGCCTCAGCAAGGTAAGGCACCACACACACACACACACACACACACACACACACACACCTTTGTACAACATGTACCCATTTTGAAAATGTTCTGTTATACATATGTGGCTTTTACTCCTCAGAGGACAGCATAACTTTTACAGATGAGTTTGGCAGTGCCCCTCAGGCAGTCATGGCCACACCAGGTTCTGTTGAAGAGCTACTTGGCAGGGTCGAGCTCCTGCTCTCTGAAACTTTGGTCCACCAAGTCGGGGCCTGCTTCCAGTTTGACATAAGCTCTGAAGATGGACAACATCACAGTTACTATATGGACTTGAGCCAAGGTGATGGTTCACATATTGCTGTTAATTTGCTACAATTATAAGAACATTTTCATTTAGATAAATCCAGCAACTGAATGCAAACTGTGCTAAATCTGTCTGAGAATGCTCAAATCTTTGTGGTAAATAGAGACAAAAGTACAATTACATAAATGTCTCTATCGCTCTGTGTGTGTTCTGTAGGCAGCGGTTCAGCTGGAGCAGGGTCCTTGTGCAGAGAGCCAGATGTGACACTGAGTATGAGTGACCGCGACCTTCTAGCCATGTTCCAGGGTGGGCTACGGCCATTTGCAGCTTACACCAGTGGCAGACTTAAAATCCAGGGAGACATTGAGACTGCCATGAAGCTGGAAAAACTCATAAACCTACTTAAGAAGTAGCAATCATTGTAACATTTGTATATTAATTTATTAAATCCTTAATTTTAACTGTAAAGTACATGTTTTTTATGGATTCACTGATTACATTTGGTATAAACTGATTTCTGTTATGGCCTTGTCTTTCTTCACAAAACCAAAGCAAAAGCTTGTTTATAATGACTGAAGGTCTTGGCATGGAAGGTTGACTTTGCATAGTCCTAATAGTTTCTGACACACTTCTTACAGTAAGATGATTGCACATTGCTCTGATGACAATATTTGGTAACTAACACAGCTCGACATACACAGACATTGTGTTATATGGTGTGTTCTATTAGGCTCTGAGGTTCAACTGGAGAACCTTGATCAGCACAGCAAGGGGGGCTGATTATTTAGACCAGCCTCCTTGTTTTGCACCAGACGTCCCTGGGATAGCCAGAGTAGCTGCTGAAGGTAGAACAGATGAGCATTATTGTTGTCGGGATGGCCAGGTGGAGTGTGTGGCGCAGCCCTGTGACGCTGCCCCTGTCCTGGATAGAAGGGCTGACAACAGGTGTGCGCTGCAGCAGCAGTATGCAGGTGGTCAGACAGACGTACTCAGAGAGCAGCAGCATTGTCAGGCCTTTCAGTGACATTCCTGGACTGTGGAAGAATGGGGTGGCCAACTTGTACAATTTCTGGAAACTGGATGGCTTCAGAAACCTTCACCGCATCATGTTGCAGAACTTCAACACTTTTGGACCCATTTACAGGTACAGAAGGCAAGACATGATGTATAAATCAATAAAATCACTCTGCAGAACATTAACAGCCTTATGCTTATCTTAAGTAATTTACATAAGTAGACAAAACAAATGACTGAATTACGTCACAGCTTTGAAACTATTTTCTGGCGTAAATGTAAACATTTTTGTTTATGAAAAATATCTGTGACAATCCACAAGGTCATGTTTTTTTAAAACCTTTTTCCCTTGGACTTTCTGTATGTCAGAGAAAAAATAGGTTATTATGAAAGTGTAAATATCATCAATCCGGAAGATGCTGCCATCCTGTTCAAAGCGGAGGGCCATTATCCTAAAAGGTTGAAAGTTGAAGCCTGGACATCATACAGAGACTATAGGAATCGCAAATATGGAGTTTTACTAAAGTAAGTGGTATCTAATATAGTCTTCAACCTGTTGAAAATCTGTTTTGACAATATGTTTTACACTTTGATGGAACCAAGAGTTTCATTAAGTGCCATAACAAAGAAAAAGTTCCCTTGCTAGTTTAAGTTTACATCCAATCTTCCCACAGGAATGGAGAAGATTGGAGATCAAACCGTGTTATTCTCAACAAGGAGGTGATTTCCCCAAAGGTGCTGGAAAACTTTGTGCCTTTGCTGGATGAAGTTGGTGAGGATTTTGTGGCCAGAGTTCACAAAAAGATCAAGCGAAGTGGCCAGAACAAATGGACCACTGACCTTTCTCAAGAACTCTTTAAATATGCACTTGAGTGTAAGACTGACTTTTATCTCGCTTGATATGAAAGCATAATTTATTTCACACTCTCTATAGGTCAGTGCCCCTTTATACTTACATTGTGCTTGTGTTTGTCCCCTGTTTATTCCGTCCTACACAGCGGTGAGCTCAGTGTTGTATGGGGAGCGTCTGGGTTTGATGCTGGACTACATTGACCCTGAAGCTCAACATTTCATTGACTGCATCACCCTCATGTTCAAGACTACCTCACCCATGCTCTACATACCTCCTGGTTTGTTGAGGCAGATTGGAGCAAAGGTGTGGCGGGACCATGTGGAGGCTTGGGATGGGATCTTCAACCAAGGTAGAGTATTGTGCTGATTGACATCATGGGGTCGTCATTTCTGTAATTTATTCTAATATTATTTATATGTTTGTACTGTATATGGTGCAGCTTATTATTTCATTTATATTCCTTTGGTGTATCAGCGGACCGCTGCATCCATAACATCTACAGGCAGTTACGTAAGGAGACTGGCACGCCAAAGAAATACCCAGGAGTCCTGGCAAGCCTGCTTATGCTGGACAAGCTGTCAATTGAGGACATCAAGGCCAGCATCACTGAGCTAATGGCTGGAGGAGTAGATACGGTAAGTAAAGAAAAATTACAAAAATCCTTTATTTTCCAGAATGTGACCTCTTTTCAGCTTTCTCAAGACTCTTTTAATTTGGTTTCTGTATTTCAGACTTCTATAACGCTGCTGTGGACGTTGTATGAACTAGCCAGACACCCCAGCCTCCAGGAGGAGCTGAGAGCGGAGGTGGCTACAGCCCGGGCTGAAAGCCAGGGAGACATGCAGGAGATGCTGAAATGGATTCCGTTGGTCAAAGGAGCTTTGAAAGAAACACTGAGGTTAGTATTTGTCTCTTTCAGATTTGTGGTAATACTTTTTCCCACTTACACATAGTTGTTCTGAAAATGACCTTTTGTAATTAATTTTCCCAATTCTGCCATCTACTAACACTCAGTTAGTCTTTAATATAGAAGTTTCACTTTGACCCCTCAGGTTACACCCTGTTGCTGTGAGCTTGCAAAGATACATAGCAGAAGATATCATTATTCAAAACTACCACATCCCAGCTGGGGTAAGTTTAAACTATAAATCATCTAATCATCTTTTTGTATTTGGGCATTTTTGTCAGTTTTTTTGTGTTTGTGTTTAGACTCTGGTCCAGTTAGGACTGTATGCAATGGGCAGAGACCCCAAAGTGTTTTTTCGTCCGGAGCAGTATCAGCCCTCCCGTTGGCTGAGGACAGAAACGCACTACTTCAGGAGCCTGGGCTTCGGCTTCGGCCCCCGACAGTGTTTAGGACGAAGAATCGCTGAGGCAGAGATGCAAATCTTCCTTATACATGTGAGATATATGGAGATATATGGAGTTTCACTTTGTTTTGTAACTCATTTTACACAGCATATTAAGTGTGCGGATTATCTTCTGTCTTTGCAGATGCTTGAGAACTTCAGAGTGGAGAAACAGCGCCACATGGAAGTGCAGAGTACCTTTGAGCTCATTCTTTTACCAGAAAAGCCTATAATATTGACTTTGAAACCTTTACATACTAGTCGGTAACACTGAGTTTGAAATTAAACTGTGGTGCATGAAAAGTTAGGCTAATTTCTATAGCTCTATATTACAGTTGATTGTAAATGGCTTTACAAAGCACCACAATATAAAAATTTAATAAAATCTTTCCACGTTGGATGCTGATTGAGAGCAAGAAAAAAATATTAGAAAGGAAAAAGCTATAACCTCAGTAATTCCATAACTACTGAACAGAGTAATTGTATGTACTGTATGTTACTTAGTAAGTAATTTGAGTAATGATGAAAATGTGAAGTCTGTGTGTGTGTACGATATATTAAAAAATATTGGATTCATGGAGTGTACTGAACCTTTATTCCATGTCCATGTGGCAAAAGTATTTTAAAATAGCTATCTATATAAACAGTGGTGAATAAAACAACACAACTGATTTAGTATATGTTGTGTAATATACTTTTATTACATATTTTAATATCTAAATACATTTATTAGGTAAAAATATCTTATTTGCAACATTAAAACAAGCTTTTCTTTTCGCTGACCTCTGTAAAAAGCAGAAATCATTCCAGGTCAAAAAATTTATAAAATAATTACACACTTTACAGTACATGTTGTGTAAAATTAATGCTAACTGCACTCAGCTGACCGATGGAACATTATGAAGGATTGTGGTGGAGGTCCGGACAAAGCCATGCCTGTGCTCACTCAGTTTGGTCAACATGTCTTGTTTCTCTCTCCCCCATAATTTAGAGTTTTCCTCCAGCTGTAATACATGCAAAGGCAAAGCATCCACTTAACCAGCATTGAAAAAACTCAAAAGGTCTACATATACAGTATAGGAGTATCTCATTTTTATGTATTTTCACCTGGGTTTCCAGTGTTTGGGCTCTTGCCTCAGCCTTCTCTAGTTTGTTCAGTAAACTCAGTCTCTCCTTGAGTGGCAGTGCGTCTTTTGTCTGAGGAGGACATGACATACATCGGATTGAGATTTCCATAGCTGTAGGACAAAATTAGGGTAGGCTGAGCCCTTTAATGTGATTGAGAGTTTATGTAAGAGTACCTGTGCTGACTGCTGAATAATGACTGCAGCAGGCTGCAGGCGAATCCTATCCAGCTCTTCTCTGAGACGAGTGTTTTCTGCTGCCAGGGCTGACTCCATCTCTTCCTTTCTGCGGTCAATCTCACCTACACAGTATGAACAGATACTCTGGCTACCAAATGTTTTTTTTGTGAAAACATTAATCCCTCAACCCACTGAGTCCACCTACCTCTTTGCTTTTTTGCCACCAGCCTTTTGTCACCACTCTTGTTCTTCTCTCTGAGTTTGCTATATAATGCTTTCTCCATGTTCTGAATTACCTGAACAATTGGGATGGCAAAAGTGTACAAGATATTATCCTAACATTGTATGTTTCTAGCTGTTTTTCATAGAAAGAAGCATTATTCCCTGTTTGGCAAGTGCAGAGCAGATTTTGGGGGTGAGTGTTCACCTTTTCCTGCTGTTTCACTGTAGCCTCCAAAGTTGCCATCTTTGTCAAGAGATTCTGGTGGCACTGCAGATCCTCCTGCTGCTGCTGGTGGACTCTCTGAAGTTTTAGTAGCTCCTTCTCACTGTCATTCTTCTACACAACACACGAAAGGAAGACAGAATGGTAAACTTTATAAACACCACAAATACACTGACATGAATGTGTGTGACATAATGTATGTTCGTGTATCTTGTAACCTTGATCAATTCATTTTGCAGTTGTTGGATCCGGTCTCTTTGCAAGGCCGCCTTACTGGTCTCACTGGCTAGCTTGAATTTCAGAGAGGCTTAAAAAAAACAATATAGTTGAAAATATCGTACACAACAACATAAATCTGGGTAATCTCGTGTCTGTTATTTGTGCAGATTTCTATAGGAATGTGATTTTATGGGCTACATTCATATGTTGAAATCAGCACAGGACACGTTTATCTAAGATGAGAATAGGCATTTGATCGGTAGAGATTGAAACTTACATGTAAGTTGAGGTTTGGTCATTCGAATAATAATGACCACAACACTGATTAATAAACCTTTTGAAATGGAATGGATTTTCTTTTGGAGTGGACTTAAATGTAGTCCCTCTGCTTTGATGCCAGCAGAGAGACCTTCTGGAACATCCTTTCACTGAGGGTCACAAACTGTCCTTCAGGAGATAAGGGATGTGCTGCCCACAGAGCTTATCGTTGTCTGTGGCCTAAATGAACTGCCTTATCACAAAAACGGCACAGTCTGTTTGGGAATAGACACTCACAAGGATTAGCAAGCACAGTGAGATATGGCCCACATCACTAATTCAATGAAATGCTCTTAAATCCATAACATGGACTGAAGGTTCAACAACTGCTGGCTGGATAGCAAACTTTTATTTATGACATTTATGAATCCAAACATGTCTTTTTACATTTGAGCTAAACTTCTGGTTAGGGTAGAGTCAGAATATCAATGATTGCTTTTGCATGGTTTTGGTTCTGGCTCATTTTAAGTATTAAGTAAATCTTAAGATTAAGTAATATTGGAATAGGAGATTGTTATGGCAATTTATATATCTTATTGTATTACTGTATGATTCTTATATTGTTTGAAGAACATTGTGTACTTCACCGCGGGTCACCGTCAGTTCAGTTGTTCTCACTTCTGCAGCCTCTGTACTTTTCCGCTGGTCTATTCTCATATACGCTAATGACCCAGGGCCCCTATCTGACCTGACAGACATCAGACAAAGTTCCTGTTTCATTCACTGCATTGTTTTAGTAACTGTCATTAACAATCATTTTTCTGCTTGAAGCTATAAACAACCGTGCTACACAGCTCTATAAAAACTCACACTTTTCACGTCTTTGTACTCTCCTGCTGACTGCTCTGTACTCTGTCTGATTCGTACCTCTGAAGCTTCAGGATAACTACGACAAAGACAACTCTGTGTTCAGGACCAAATTTATTTCACATCTCCAGAACGGTGAATTTCGCAATGTGGACGCAATTTGTTTCTATAGATGGTGTTAAATCTGACTTTTTACTTAAGAAATAAGGCTTGTATTAACATGATAGCCAGAAAATAACTTGTGCAGGCTACCTTTTTAAGTGTTTTGGACTATGGTGATGTTGTCTACATGCATGCAGCCTCTAGTACTCTCCATAGTGTACCATAGTGCTCTGCGTATTCATCATTGTACGCTTTATGAACTGGCAGGCTAGCTGTCACTAAGTCTGCGTAGACATCTTCATTTGCATATTTTTCTATACAAGGCCATGCTGGGAAACTGCCGGCATATTTATGTAATCTCCTGAAGCAGAATACCAGCAGTTTTCATCTCTGCTCCACCAGGTGGCTCTCTTACCATGTTCCAAGGGTTTTTACTGAGTTGGGAAAGAAAGCCTTCTCTTACTTTGGTCCCTGGTCTTGGAATAACTTACTAAATTGCCACATCTAAACAATCTAGTCCCATTGAATGAATTTAAAGCAATGTTAAAATGCCATGTAACTGAGAAATGTAACTGCCACATGTGACCTGGCTTAGTCCCTTTCCTTTGTGTGTGATGCTTGTTGTTTGTTTTGACTATTCTGTATTTCTATTTAAATTGTAACTGGTGTGCCATCTTGGCCAGGTCTCCCTTGGAAAAGAGATTTCACTCTCAAGGGACTTCCTGTTAAATAAAGGTTAAATTAAAAAAATAAATAAAAAGACAGGACACTAATGAATGGATAAAAGTTATAGTTGAGTACTGTAATTCACCATGGTGCTCTGCTGTGGCTCACCTATATGGTCAGAAATCTCAGCCTTGGTCATGACGTCAATGTCTGTATCGCTGAGCAGATCACGGCCAAGGTCCTGGTGCAGAGACAGATCAATGCGGAGCTGACTGTTTTCTGCCTCCAATGTCACCACCCGTGTCCTCAGCGCTATGATGTCGTCTGCCATCTTGCTCATGGCTGAACGATAGTTTTCCACCTCCTGATGGAAAGACACGGATGCTCAGTGTCAAGCCAGTTGCTTTAAGTGGGAATTAAATTAATCTTTTTTTAAATAAACTATAACAAATATCTCACTTAGTGAAACTGTACCAGATTGAGTTTCATGAGTGCTATCAAGGCTGTTGTAAAGTGCAAAGATGACTAAAAACTACCCCCCAATTCATTTGTAATCAAATAGTGAGAAAGAGTGACTGGTGGGTTTTTTGGGGACAAATTTGATGCCAAGTGACTCTATGTGATCACCACCACTAGATGTCTCTTCAACACCATCTTAAAGCATTGACATGTATGTATACTGACACCATTTCCAAATATTGCAATATAATTTGTTAGAGGCTCAGTGTCTCATTAATAATTTAATTTATCTTAGTTTTGGATAAGCACATCACATTTGACATGGAATTTAACTGGAAGCTGATGTCTGTGAAGGTTCTCAGTCATCGAGGTCATAATTATCCAAAGAAGGTTAAAATCAAGGGCAACTTCAAAATAGGTTGAAGATACCCGAAGATGTTTCCCCTTTCATCCGAGAGGCTTCTTCTGAACTGAAGATTTTAACCTTCCTTCGATAACTGAAAGCCAAAAGAATATATTCTGCCATATTGTGTGGTATTCCTGTAATCGATTGTCTAGGGTTTGGGTACAATAAATTCATGACTCTGTTTCCTTAAATCCAAAGGAGCAGTAACAACCTATACTGTGAAGGTCTTTTGTCTTGAGAGCTTTAACCAGGAATTTGGGTAAATCCTAGTTGTGCATTCACAGAGCTGCCCTCCTATGAAAGCCCATTTGCTGATGTGTAGAGGCCAAACTCATGCCAAATTCATGTATCTCTGCAAGACAAGCCAAAAAAATCACTTTTTTCTTGATGCCTTTCTTTGCCTTTTTAAAATATACAAAATGTCTCACTGACTTTAGCTTTTAGCAACAATTCCACTGTTGCAGAGCTCTGTTATCAAGACATATCTCTGTGTAAGGCATATTTTCTAGCAGCTTGTATATGCTCATTGTTCTCTGTTCTGTCACATTCCCGTCTCTCATATTGAATAGACAGAATTGAATGGAGACTAAGAGCAGGGTCCAGCTGCACGTATATGGAGGGGAGGCGGCGATTAGGGGATTCCAATCTCAGATGGTGTGGTTGTGATTCCCGTGGGATACAAGGGTGAAATTGAGCATCTAATTGAAAGGGCAGGGACGAGGTGACAATCATGACTGTAGATGAGATGGTGTCTCTGCTGGGGGGCTAACAGGCATGATGAGAAGGACGGCTCCCCATGATGAGTCTCGAAAGTCCCATCATGTGTTCAAAAGAAAAGGAGCCTGTGAATGCTAGAGGTTCCCCCCCTATGATTTGAAGACGTGGCATTGCTGTCATACATACTGTCACTTTAGGCCAATTATACCACAGACAGAAGGCAGCTGGATTGCATTACAAGGATGTTGTATTTAATCAGGTTTCTCCAAACTCTTATCATTCTGATGCTTTATGTACACTATTATTATACATTAAATGCATGTGAAGTCACTATGAAATTGTGCAACTGATACATGGATCTCTGCTTTTCTATCATATAAGTTAACAAAATCTAAATGAATTAACATAAAATCTATATGGATAAACATACGTAATTTTGGCCAGTTCAAAGATCCAAGGAGTGAATTTAAATAACTAAATTAAATAAGCAAGAAAGTCTCACAGCTACAGGAGAAAAATGTCAAGATATAGATAAATAACACCCTGGGACTCTAGCACAAGTTATAACCTCATCAGCCCGATCCTCCTTGAGTGCAATCAGTCCAAAAAATGTTAATCTATTCTACTATCTGCTGATTGATTGAAGAATTTAGGAACTGATTATGTCTAATAACCTTAGTGTAGAGGTTGCTGATCTCTGTCATGTGGGGATCATCCTCAAAGTCCTGCAGAGGGGATCTAAGGCATGAACACATTTAATAAAAATAACTTTTTTTCATTATTCATTCAATAATCATGACATAAAAACCCTGCTTCTCACACATAGTTGTCTGTTTACCGTTTATGTGGATGATTTACTTGATAGGTGTGGTTTATGTTGGGTTTGTTGGCCTGTGAAGCCTGTCGCCTCTCAGCCAGTCTCTCCTGTTCTTGTCGGGCTGCCCCATGGAGCTCAGTCTTGTCTCCCTTGAAAAGGTAGTGGTAATTTGGCAGGATCTGTGCCAGGGCATTATGGGATGGGAGATCGTAGCCATTCTTCTGAAGCTGAAGAGGAAATATTGGTTTCATTGACAAAATCTATTGCCGTGCTCGGCTAGAAGCTGTCTCAGAAAAAGTTCATGACAACCATCACTTTTAACCCTAACATTCTGTTTGAGGTCCTGAAGACCCCAGGCCCTCTTTAACCACTATAAAACATGCTTAACATTGTTTTATCAGCTTCATATTTTACTTTTTTGTAATTTAATGAGAATTGCTTACATACACGTTGAACTGATGTACACTACACCAGCTGTGAAACATGGTTAAATATAGTGTATTTTTATACGCTATATCTTTATCTATATCTATATATCACTGTTGACTGTCGCTTCCAAATCCCAAATTAGTCTATTAGCTTGTTAATAAGCGGTCTAACAGGGAGTTTGGCCTCTGTGGTATCTAATTGACCCCAAGCATAAGTAGAGGAAGTAAAACCAATTTCAACACGCAAGGATTACTTACACAACAGAAACCACGAGCAAGTAGCATTACCTTGGCAAAGGGTTGGCTGTTGGTCTTCCATAACAATGTGGGAGGACTACTGTAAATGGCATCTGTAATGGGAACCTTAAATCTACCGGTCATGTTTTTACAGAAAATTAAATATTTTATCCAAAAAACATTGTAGCTATGACCTCTCAATATTCGCTGTGCTTGTGTGTGACCTGTTCTACCTCTTCATCTCTTGAATACAAAGGTGGTTATGTCACCATGCATACAGGACCCACTCTATAATTATAACAAGAGAGCTCTTAGTCAATAGCCCTAAAGTCCTTCAGGTTTGAGCCTTGCATATACAACACTGTCAATGATTGTGGTTGCCAGCACAAATTCAAAGAAATTAAATGAAATAAAGTCATTTTCTGTTCTTTCTGCAGGCCCTCCCTCCAACACAAATACTTCCACACTGTCAGAGCCTACCTTTGTAGCTGCAGGGCTGCTATGTGATTTTGTCTTTTTTGAGGCCTTCATCCAGCAAAAAAATGCCCTGAGCAGGAGAGTGAATATGTAACTGATGGTGGATGTGAATGTTGGAGATCTGTCATCAAGTCAGAACAATCGACCTGTAACCACAACACAGACCGTGGCAACTTCCAGGCCAATCAGAGGGACTCCTGTTATGTGCAAAATATTTTAGCATCGTGTTTCATGTTCAACAGAGCTCAAGGCAAAACAATGGTATACACCATATCCCTATTTTTTGCATTGGTGGAAAGTGTACAATTTTGAAGTACTCACACAGAGTATTATTATTATCCATTATATGTTACTTTGTACTTCTACTCCATTTTAGAGGCAAATATTATACTTTTACTCCATAACATGTGACAACTTTAGGTTCTTTGCAGATTCAGTCCTTGAATTTCACAACATGAGTCAGTCTCTCCAAAGCAAAGCAAGCCTTAAATGCCTATGTCCACATTCCTGCGGAAGATATGTACAAGTACATATCTGTATATCTGTTAAATGTACAAAGTAACAATTAATAACAATAATACAAAGAATCTTCAGGGTAAATTCCAAGTATTCAAAGTTTGGCTTGGAGAGAAACTGCTTTACCTACATTCAATAATTCTCTTCGGAAACCCTGTAGCTTTGCACATTCCCATAAACAATGTATTAATATACCCATTTCCAGAGATTCAGATTATTACTACAAAATATATTTAACAAATTATAATGTCAATGCCAAGCTGTATTTAAGTAGTTTGTGCCCCACACTTACTATTTGCAACTTTAAAGTGATCCTCACACAATAATGCATCAATAATAATAATAATCGGAAAATATATATATCATTCTGAAACTGGCCATTCTGCACAATGAGTACTTATACTTTTTGGTACTAGTAGAATATTTTGATGCTGAAGCTTTCATACTTTTACTTAAGAGAAACTCTGAATGAAGGATGTTTGCTTGAAACAGAGTATTTCTGCATTGTGGTATAGCAACTTTTACTTTATCTGATTACTTCTGCCTCCATTGCACTTTGTATCTTAGCAATTTTGAAAACAATATCAAACCTTGTGTTTATGCCTGGAAGAAGCATGTACCAATCAATGGAATCAAAGGGAGGATCCTGCTCAGTAAATACCAGCCCCCATGTGAATTCTGTCTTAGCCTGGATAAGCAGATTGATGGGGACTGACTAATGATTTCTAAGTGACATGCTGTGCAGCACCTGTGACTTGCTCTGAGCATTTATTCCAAGCTTCACTCAACTCACTGAGACCCTGATGTCAAATAACTAATACTGTGCAAAAAAAATCATTTCATCTAGAGGAGCTGAATTTAAACAAAATTAGCGTGGGTTTAAGGTTTAAGGAAAAACAAAACAAAAATATAAACAAATTATCAACATGTATCTCCTGTTGGATTATTGGAACTATGCATTGACTCAAAGATGTTTATTAGCTCATGAAAAGTGGACAGCCAATGTAAAAGTCTGACATTTTAGCCATTATGATTGACAGTAACTGGATCGTGTGCTTCTTGTATGTTTCCATTGTGCATGAAATGTGCTATATACAGTTTAACTTGCTAAAGTGTTTATGTGCACACACATATATGCAAATGTGTGTGGAACCTCCAATTGTGTGGATCAATAACTATCCTGTTTGTTTAGCTCATAAGCAGTGAAGGCTGAGATTGACAATTAGTGATGGCACAAGATCTGATTGAGACTAAATGATAAAGTGAGGGCAGGGAGGGAGTCATCAGTGATCTAAAAAGACTGTGCCTGGCATTACTTTACAGTCTCCAAATAGGCCTATATTCTGTTGTTTAGATATAAATAGTGAACTTATTAAATCTGACCGTAATACCATGCATTAAAGCAAACTGTCCTGTCCTTTTGCATTTATTT